AAGCTTTAGCTTTGCCAGTATACGATAGAGTTCTACGGGGTTCTGGCACATAATTGGGGACACTTTGGCAAAGCTCCAGAAAGAGTGGTCCGGGTTCGGGATATTGTAAAGTAATGTTACGTAGCAGTGGCGTACCCAGGATTTCCGCTCGGGGGAGGGGGGGGGGGGGGGGGGGAAAGGGTGCGACAAAAAAATTTTCGAATGAAGGTGCGTGGCGTTAACCACGCACTCCGAAAAAATTTTAGGGGTGCTTCTCAAAATTTCTGCGGGTCCCCAACCCCTAAAATCTGGAAAAAGGGGCGTGGTTGGATTTTTAAAAATTTTTAAAAAATATTTTGATTATTTACAAGTATAAACAAGTCATTTGCACATTTTTATAATCCTTATTAGTAACTTTTGAAAATTTCGCGACCCATTCTCGGGGGGGGGCCGCCCCTCCCCCCTCGGTACGCCACTGTTACGTAGGTATACTGTACATAGAGGTAAGGCACAGACTTTGCCTCAAATTTTTCGCGGAGTGGTGCCGCTCTTGAAAATTCAAGTTTACATGCACGAGAAATACAGGAAGGGCACGAGAATGACGTGAGCCCATCCAAAATTATCGATTTTATTGATTTTATTGATTTTTGGCATTGTTCGTCCCAGGAAGCTCAGACCTTATATATATGGGTTTTTTAGCATGCTGATTACGAGTATGATAGTCTCAAGTTCTAATACCTCCTTCTAACATCACCTTGAGTCTTACGAAAATTCTACCGTACGACTACTGTAGTTCCACCGTGGGGAAGTAGTGAACAAAGTGGACACCATAATCGTGATGAGCACGTAAAATATCCCCAAAACACCTTTTTTCATGGAAATCCATGATGTTGGGTTAGTACAGAATGTTACCGTATCCATACCGTATACTGCCAAAAATTGAAATAAATCGTATCTTAGTCATCAGCGCCTTTGATAACCCTTGTGGGGGAAATTCTCGGAGACATGTTTTGAACTTCTTCCAAAAAGATTACCATTTTCGGGCAATACGATTCACGGGTGGGTCGTAAGTTTTACAAAGCAAAAAAGCTCTGGTTCGAAACGGCAGTAATCGAAAAATCGCCCTTGTCGTGAATGTGTTAAATTTAATAATTTGTTGTAAATGTTGTTCTTCTTTATTGACTATATCACTCAAATATCATGTCATGTATAGGTTATCCCACTAAGGGCAGGGCCTGGCACCGATGGTTTGGGGTCAAACTGGACTTCGTTTTTGGACTTGGAAGCAACGGGGACATCGTTTTTATGAGGTCCTGGAGGAAGCGCTAAAAAACACGACGAACATGTCAGGTTTCACGAGTTGAACGTGTTCTTTCGCAAGCGCGCGAATTTCAAATGCAAGACTCAAACAAACAAATGGCTTGTTTACAGCGCACAAACAATCACATGGCTCCGAATTTGGGCTATGAGTATACAATATTACTCCAAACTATGTTATGTAAAAAGTTCTCAAAACTTATGTGTCTGAATACCCGTTCCGGATTTGTTGGTTTCTAGACCAACCACCGAACCAACTGGGTTGGTTCGGAGCATAAATTTCGGAGAGTTCACATAAGTTTTGGACCTTTTTGATTTGGACGATTAAAACGCTCAAAAATCCATTATATAGTGAAGAGAGCGAATCAAACTATTGCCTCTCCTCTTCTTTTGAACTAAAAGTAGTGCAAATCTATACGCCTTAATAGATATTGCGCTCCAATCACAGCGGTGTCCTTTGAACTATGTGGCGAAAAACGCACTGCCAGATTGTTGAGGCCACAGATTTGGTTGGCCTAGGAGGTTCTCGACATTCTGAGCGCTAAAATGGTACACTCTCAATGACAGAGCCTTTAATCAAATCGAAACGTTTTCTTTTTGCTTTTTTGTTGTATTAGTTACCTCAAAATGCGCTTTTTTCGCTTTTTTTAATGTTATTTTGACTAATTAAGGGTTTCCCTACTGATTTTTACGTCAAGAGGAACTTCGTAAATTTTCGCGAAGTCATGGGGGACTTCGTTTCCGGAAACGCTTCAAACCAACGCGTGCCGGGCCCTGACTAAGGGTATGGATCTCGAATAAAGTAAGCTAAGCTTATTTCGCGTCACTACAACATATACATATACAACTATATCCACTTCGGTAATGTTCTGTCACGTTTAATCTACCTTATGTGAACAAGACTCAGGACTTTCCAAGAAAAAGTGTATACGCGTACCATATGAGTTGCAAATGTCTTGGAGCAAGTCAAGCTCGAGTTTCGAGCATCCACGCTTATGTATTTGCAACGTTCGTTGAAGACGAGGTGCAATCGCTGCACACTTTCCTCGTATTCTTTCTTGCGTAACTCTTAGCTCGCATTAAGTGTCGCTTTGCGCATACATGTGAGGATGAGGTCTTACGCAGCGTGACAGAAGGCCTTGGGACCGCCCCTGAGATGTACATACAGTGGCATATGGTGCTGTCACCTTACCGCATCCGATGACAGCACTACACATCACGAAACGGTTTAGTGGACCAAAGAAGCTATCAGTGCTGTAAAAGGGTAAGTTGAATGCGTTGAAGCGCTTTGGTTAGCATAGCAATCATGTGATATTCCACGCTTGACCTCTCGAACTTGTCATCACTCACTTTCCAGGGCTTCACCAAGGCGATTCGCGCCGAAACGTCGACCTGATCACTGGTATTCTAATGTGATTATACCGAGAACAAGCATTGACAATCTTGGAAACGCTTCGAAAACTAGCATATTAATCACATGATATTTAGTTAGCACATGAGAGATGTTGCATACCCTGATGAAGGCAGATAAACGCGATCTGCTGCGGAAGTGTAGGGTTGATTGAAGGGTATCATGGCTGATCTATGGGAGCTCAAATATTCTCGACCAATATGTAGCATGTTCTTCCTGAAAACTATTTCCGGACACTTACGAGGTGCAGCACGTGAACATCCTTTATGAATTTGCGTATGTACAGTCTAAAATTATAATGATATTTTGCTAATCTACTTTATTCGTTAACTTACCCAAGGCGTTCTTGGTCCGTGACCTTCACTGTTTGTTCTCTCACTATTCTTATGTCTTCGTTATGAGTACTACTCTGCAAGATTATTCCTTCCCACGGAAAGAAAATGGCGCCAACAATCATAAAAAAATTTTGCAAAAAAGATTAATTAACCTCATTAAGTTTTCAACTTCAGTACTTATGCGGATTGCTGGAATGCCCTTATGCATTCCCGCTCCTGTCGGCCAGGAAAACGCTAGGGGGCGATCTTTGGGATATTTGAAAAAGCAAAGTTAGTCCCTCTCCCTTGAGAGATATTTAAAAATATTTTTATTTTCCTATATATTAACTTACTTTTTTATAAACTTCTATTGGTCTTATTGTCCGAAACAGCAGAACACGTACGATCTACCGCTAAATCGTATTCTCGTGAATGTGTTAACGCATCCTCGTTCGGGATGTCTTGAGCGGTGCAGACTAGAAGCAGAAGGGATTAGCTTGGTGACTGGAGTCGGGCTGAAGAGGCTGGCGTTGATGGCTGGAGGTGGACTAAATTGGATTCAATGGCTGAAGTCGGACTGGAGAAAGCTGGAAAAGGACCCGGCACGAGTCGGTTTCTAGAACTCCTGAAAACGATGTCCTCCCCTGACTTTCAGAAATTTTACAAAGTCCCCTTTGACCTACATACTTAGGAGAAGGTGAAAACAAGGTTTACCAATCTGAAACAAAAACGTGAAATAAGTGTGAAAATCCAGATTGAGCTGAATACTACGCATGCACAAGAGTTTGGCATTGGAGCGCGATATTTAACAAAGCGATTCATGAAGAAATTAAGGTAAAAAAAACAAAGGAAAGGCAATGATATGAAAATGTCTCATGCTCAGGGATAGATTTTTTACCGAGGAAGCCGTCCATGATAGAAATATCTAAAACTTATGTGAAGTGACGACATTATATGCTCCAGACGATCTCAGATCGTCTAGTGGGTCTGGAGACGATCTAAATTTGGAAAAGGTATTCCTTCACTAAGTTTTCAAATTTTTTTTCGTAATTCTTCCTCAAATAATTTTCTATGCATACACTCCAACTTTGGTGTCATATGATTCTGTGTGCGCTGTAAACAAGCAGGTTGTTTATTTTAGCCTTGCTTTCAAATCGCGCACATTTTCCGCCATACACCACAGAGCATGTCGATCGTGCGATAATCTGTCCGAAAAGCTTCTGTTCGACTAAATGGCGCCTATTCTTGATGTTCGGCCCGATTCGTCAAGAACGAAATCTTGCTTTTTGCTCTAAAAACGATGTCCAGCCTGCTTCCAGACGATCTGTGCCGGGCCCTGAGCTGGAACTGTGCTGGCGTTGGACTGGCGTGACGGCTTCAATGTCTTGGCGTTTTGATGGAGCATGCGGGGCTCGCATCTTGGTGCAAAGGAGGAGATTGTGCCATAATCACCCACATTTCACGTCGCATTCGTCCTCGTGCAAGCAAAGCAAGCAGAGCCTCTTTCAGACCTGCGCCGCCTAAACTAATGAGGATGCCGAGAAACTCTGGACATTGGCCCATGGGAAAATCAAAAGGTTTGATAACAATGACAATTGGGAGTTTCATCTCGTCGTTTGCTAGAGCCAAGCTTGGGACGCTCGTGATGCACACTTCAAGCACCGCAGATACATGTGCGCATGCGTCTGTATAACCAAATGATGTTGCCTGAATCTTTGATGATAAGAGTGGCCAGGTCTTCAATTACCACCGGGTAAGAATGTCGCGGATTTCTCGACTCTACCGAGGCAATGCCCTCAGCTGCGATTTTGACGACGTGTTCTAAACTATGCCACTTGAGCGTTTGCTCCACAAAAAATAGCGCTCTCTCAAAATTCAGAGCACCTTCATGTACATGAGTGAAAATAGAAACATGACTGGGGAACCCTTGGGAGAGCTCCAAATAGGCGTTAAAGACGGCGCAAGCATATTGGTGCAGTCGCACACACTGCAATCGCTTCACGACTATGAGCGGAGAAATGTGATGCACTCGCGTCACTGATTCATTCAACTCTTTGTGGTAGTTAGAACCTTATAATTATGTCTCTTTTACCTGATTTTTATAACAAAGCTTTTGACGGAAGAGTATAAGGTTGTCTGCATATTTTAGGCCATGGCCGACTCACCCAACAGCTATTCCGGGGCACCCGGGTCTCCAAATCAGTTTGACCCAGCTTCTCCTGGATATGATCCTGCATCACCTCAAGGATCAGTTTCGTCAAACAATAGTAATGCTGGAACTCCTTCGCATGTGTCTGCGCCATCTTCACCATTGTCTGCTCATGCAGAGTGAGTTGATTTTGGTTTCTTTACGAGGTTGATGTTCTAAAGGGCGTTTTTTCTTTGAGTAATAGTACGATTTTGCGCAAGGAGTATTTGATTTGAAATTATCAAGGTTTTTGCGGTGCAGAAGATTATCTAAGTTTTTGCACTCCATTTTAGTGATTCTTGTTGCCACTACGCTATCATTTTCATTATTTGCAAATTCTCGTTTTCCCTTTATTTCTTTACATTCCAAATTTTATATGTATTTAGCGATCTATAATATACATTCTTCATATCTGTTTACTTAAAGCTATAGTTGGGTGCAATCCTTGTTGAGTGATTTCTTTCTCTTAATCAAGTCCTTTTTCTCTTTCGAGACTAAAAGTTTTTCAGTCTCAGCGTGAATTTTGATATATCATATGCATGTCCCTTGTATCATGCAAAGCCATGGGTTTTCCTCAGCGAAAACACCATTACTAAGAGTGCGAACAGAGTAATTAACTTCAGGACTTCTTGATGATGAAAACGCGGAATTTTTCTGATTTCGCTTTTACTGACTTGTTGGTAGAGTTTAGATGCCATTTCATATCACATTTCAGTTCTGATGACGACTACCGCGCTGATAGTCCCAACATTCCTGTTTCTCCCGAAGGGGGTACATCCATGTATCAACCATATAATCCCGTTTCGCCACCGCACGATGCTCCCTCTTCCTCAAGATCTCCTCCACAGGTCCAAGATCCCGACACTTCATCTCCACGATATCGGGAAAATGACGACGAAACGAGGTTCCTTGTTTTTTATATAGCTGTAATATTATAGCTGTAATTTTGACTGTGTATAGTACTCTGTATGTTTAGCAATGTAGTGGCTAAGAGTGGCTCTGAGACTAATGGTGATGTGGATGATGATCATTCTGAGAAAAGAAAATCGCCTGCTGGTTCGGACGCTGAAGATGGTACATTTGTTTTCCATGATTTTCCGAGACTCAGTATTTGTTGTCAGATGATGACGAGAATGTGGTTCGGAAGAAGAAGCGCATAGTTGATTCAGACGATAGCGATGAGGATGATGCGGGCTCTAAGTAAGCTTTGTTGCAACTTTTTCTCCTTCAATACTTATTTTGTTTTTAGGCGAAATCTGTTGGATTCCGATGACTCTGATGATGATATGGATGAAGAGCAAAGGAAGAAAAAGGTTACAGCCGTTTTTTCTAAACAAAATTCATGTAAATTTCAATCTATTTTAGCTTGGAAACTTGATGGTAAACATTTTCGGCGAGGATGTCGAAGAAGATGCTGAAGCCTCACATGACGCTGAAGATGCTGAAGGTGAACAGGAAGAAGGAGATGGTCAAGCCGGTCATGGCGAAGAAGGTTACGAAGATGACTATGGTGAAGGCCATCATCGCAGAGAGGACCATGATGACAGGGATAATGCGTAAGTGTGGTTCCTCGTATTTTGTCTTCGTGGATTAGCTTCTGGATTTTCTGGTTTACTGCCATACTTTAACCCCGAACTGATAGAAAATTAACAAAGATTCTGTATGTTTCAGAGGCTTTGAGTGGGACTTTGACGTTATGCTGCGTGAAAAGAAGGCTGAACGGAAAAGGAAGCGAAGAAAGCACGGTGATGGAATCGACATAATAAATGATGATGATGGAATTATTGCGCATATGGTTAACGCTATGAAAAATGCTGCTAAGGTGATTTTTGCAAGATAAATAGGTAGTTCTGCGAGATAATCTATCGAGAAGTTGGTGTACCTCGTAATAGGAGGAAATCAATTTTTTTAGGATGATCGCCATTCAAATACGGAGAGAAAACCGGCATTGAAGAAAAGAAAGATGCTTGCTGATGTCAAGATGATGTTGCTAAGGGTAGGTTTATGACAATTCTTCTGAAAGGGAAGGGCTTTCTTATGCATTGATATATGACTTTAAATCACATTTTTGAGGAAGATTATTTCTTGCATTGAGCCACGGCTCTTGTTTGTAACCTTTGAGCGTTTCAACACATCTGGCTTCGAGCTCATATACCTCATATTTTAGGAATTTATCAAAACGACAACTCTTATATTTTTTAAAGTGAATTTTGGCACTATTTAAATGTGTTATTTGATCCTCCCTTTCGTCCTTTTATTCCATTTCTTTCTACTTTTTATATTGTGATGTTTTGTCCTCAAACTGAACTTTTAGACTGACACGCTGGACGCGATGATCGAGGGTGGAATGATGAGTGCTGTGTCGGAGTGGTTGGCGCCTTTGCCAGACAAAAGTCTTCCAGCTCTTGAAATTAGGACAGAGTTGCTGAAAATATTGCAGGGATTTGGCCGACTTGATCAGGTAAACGGTAGTGTGGCATATGGCAACGCAGCAAGTCTCCTTTTCAGGGGATCCTGAAACAGTCCGGGCTAGGAAGAGCGGTCATGTTGTTGTACAAGCATCCAAGGGAAACGAAAGAAAACAAAGCTATAGCTGCACATATTATACGAGAGTGGTCAAGACCCATCTTCCAGGCAAGTTTCCCAATGGGTTAGTGACATTACTTACAGTACTATATGCTTTATCTTTCAGCTAGATACAGATTTCCGCTCCGTTTCCCGTGAGGAGAGGCTGCAAAGAGATTTGGAACATATGTCAAGCGCAAAAAAGAAGAAGCTGAGGTTGGAGATAATGTCCTGATGTTTTTATTTAGAGATATTATTTATTGCTATGCTCTCTTGCTCCAGTTTCCTGAAAACTTATCTCGTTTGATTTTTTACCGCAGCATAGCCAGCCTTTGCCTTTTGCCACTAAACCTGTTGAACCATTACATGTTGAGTTCTAGTGGAGAAGCGGGAACGTCCGATCAGAATGCAACGCCGAAGGACGAAAAAGTGATTAACAGAGCTCGCGTCCCTAGGCCTTCTACTAAAGATTATGTTGTTAGGCCAAAGTCAAATGTGGAGGGAGAATTTAAGGTTTGTCTTTCCCACTCTGTTTCGACGTTATAATTATACATTTGATTATACGTAATCAATTCTACAGGGTGAACGAAAAGCAAAGGCATTTGCCCGTCTTGATAAAGCCCAACGAGAATTCATGGAAAGAACAAAGCGTTTGAAAGTCAAAAGAGCTGTCGGCGTATCGCTAGAAGGAGGAAATATGGCTATTTAATGCGTGTATGTGCAAATTACAACATTTATTTACCAGTTTGACTTTCCTTTCAATAGTAACCTATGACTCTCTACAGTTTGTTATCTTTGTGTCTTTGACTAGCTGCTGTTCTGAAGATGTGTGGTGCATATGTATGTGAACGTATTTTCTAGGCGATGTCATGTTTGAAATATTATCTTATTTTTATGCCTAGCATTCTCTAACTTTTTTTTCACAATTGCTTGCAGAAATCATGAATTTGGATGTTTGAATAAAGAGGCTATTAGAGATTGATGTTGTGACATATGCTTAACATTAATAATGTCGTAATGGCCATATAAAATTGCAGTACTTGCTTACAAGTTATATACTACCTCTGTCTCATTCACTGGTAGACGTCGCTGAGCGCGTGGTTGAGGTCGTCCTTAGTATCATCGGCTCCACGATTCGTGTAGAGGCGGGGTTTTGCCAACTCAAAGCGTGGCGGTTTTTGATAGTGAGAGAGTACAAAAAACAATCGTATGACGTGGAGGTTTAACAAGTTTACCTGTGTTATCAGGCAATTCTGCAATACACCTCTACACGAATCGTGGAGACGATCATAGATGTTAGATTTAGCCAGGAAATATCTGCATGTAAATTTTTTTGAGACACGATCTTGATTTATGTCGCATTGATTTCAACCAGAAGCTGTTTAGTTTGTAACAGATATTTTCCACGCAAAATTCAGTCAAAACAATGGAGTTCTCACCGCAAAGAGCTCGAAGCCTCGCTCAAAGGTATGTCATATGTATGATCCGATTTTTTGTGCGAGGAAGTAAGGGTCATATCATTGATGAATCAACATGGTAAAATACCCCTCAGAAATGAGATCCTCACCCGTTTTGGGTGAGGATCTCATTTCCGCACTGAAAGGCAGTGTCCGGGCATAAACTGCATTTCTAGAAAATCCACTTACCGGGGGTTATCCGCAACGTTGAATCCGACTCCACATTAGAAGGCGCGAAATTGGCGAGAACATGCGTTTTCCAAAGCCTTACAATATGAAATTCGACCCCCCGTCTCAGCCTTGGCGGAGACTCTGCGTCCCCGCCAAGGCTGAGACGCAGAGTCTCCGCGGGACCCTACAATTTTGACTGTGGCGCATGGGGTAGAGGACTATATGTCGCCGAAAAAGGGCGGTCCCGGCGGTCATTTGCGACAAATACGCATCCTTATACATGCGCGGACATGCGTTCGTACAGGGAATCTGCGCGGGACTCTTCCAAATTCGGCGACATATAGTCCTCCACCCTGGCGCATGCGTACTCTCCCGCATAGCAGGAATTCGGACAGATCTGGGACTTCGCCCCAAGGCGTAAGTTTCCACACTTTCCGGTCGTTTTTCTTGCTTTAGATCGAGCGTTATGACCAGGGTTGAGCAAGAGGTCAGGCACAAGTCTTTCCAAAACGACCCCCCCCCCCAGTGAAAGCCCCTAAACGACCCCTCTGCTTCACCTCCAGGACCTCAGGCTGTGATAATTCGAAGAGATCAGCCGTTTTTGGGAGGTTCTTGTTTTTTGGAGGTCTGTAGGTCGACTTTCTGCGATTGCACAGCACACGCAACTTGACGGCAAGTTTTGGATTTTGGATAGCCCTACTTTTAGAGCTATAATTCCCACAGGGGTGTATTGTTTGGCTCCAAATTTGCAGTAATGCAAGAAGAGGCTTTGAGTTCAATACTCATAGCAGAAATGGAGCGATTTTTAGATTTTGAAAACAAGTTAATCGGGTCAGGCGCAACCCCTCAAAAGCTCAGGCGGCCTGACCTTTTGTGGGGTTGCGCCTGACCCGATTAACTTTATCATTGAAGAAGCTTTTTTATTCAAGTTTTATGTGAATCGCTAGCACAACCCTCGAAGATTCCACAGTAAGTGTTTGGACTTGATTCGACTTGTTTCGGCCTTGTGGTAATCCGTGGAGTTGAAGCAGTCATGGCGAAAAACGCGCCGATCGAAATTTTGGCATTATTTCTTACTCCACTATTTGCAAGCGATACAAAGCGCGATTTTTAGCCTAGACTAGTAGGGAACAATACTTTGTTACGAGTACAAAAAAATTGACTTTTTTCACTTTTGAAAACAAGTTAATCATGTTTGAAAATCACGCTTTTTAGTCGTTGAGAAACACTAGATAATGCAGTAAATAATGGTTTGTAGGGCTCATAGAGGTAATTTGACGTGCTTGAAAATGATACCCATTTCAAACAGCAAGCTTCCTTGATGAATTTATAATATGTCAAGGTAGAAGATGAAGATTTGAGTTTTGGCCGAAACTTCGATTGTGGAATCAATCAGTATGCTGTTTAAGACCGTTCATTCCTTCAGTACTGGTGAGGTGGCGATATCCACTAAACTAGCGCTTTTCTTCTTCACCTTAATCGTAGTATCTCCTCAATCGAACGAATTCGATTCCTAATCACGACCCCCCCCCCCCTGTCTTACCCCAGTACGACCCCCCAGGTCGGGCGCGCCTGACCCCACGCTCAACCCTGGTTATGACGTCGCCTGCACGATGTTGTGTCTGAGGGGGCCCACACTCGCATGACACTGAAATCCCAAAAATATTAGTTTTTCATAGCGCGCGAACTTTATTCTGATTGTGAGAATCAAGTTATTCTGAGAAGAGAGGCTCCCCCTTTCTAAATCACGGTCGAAAGTGATTTACATGGGTTGTTTTAGTTGTTTTTTTCACTTGAAAATATTGAAGAGACAATGCGGATGACTCTTTTAATTCTTGCTAAAACGAAAAGGAAACCACACATCAACGAAAAAAAAAAACATAGTGACGTTTGGCATTTGAGAAGAAATCGTAGAACTTCGCTTTGCCAGATCGCTTTCCAAACTCGGATCCGACAGTTACGCTTACCATCTTTTTACTCCCATAGAGAATAAGTCAGCACATAATTATATCATATTTCTTTAGCACTTGAAAATGCATCTGATGAAAAACATTTCATCAACGTTTAGGTCAAAGACATTTTTTCTCTTAGAAGCATCTTTTCACAATATGGGCTTCTCAAATCTTTTGGGGTGTCGCTTCCTGTAAAGATCCATTTTTAAAGTTCAATCGGGCATGTAGGATTGGATGTCAAATAATCTGCTCGATTTGATAATTGCTGCCCTCAAAATTTCTAATATTCATCACGGCAGGGGGATCCCTCTCTTGGAAAATCGGACGACATGTATACACGATGGCACTGCTTGTTTTCATGCTATATGCTTTGCTAGAAATAGTTTTGGAAGCAAACCTTGTTTGATTAGTTGTCTCACCTGGTAAACATAATCTGTTTTTTATCTGAGAAGCATATAAAAGCACCATCGCACAAAAAATTGTGAGACAATCTCCTGCACCCTACTAGAAATTCCCACTAAATATGCTTAGCTATGTCCTAGCAATTTCAGTAGTATTACTCGTCTGTTCAGCTACAGGTACTGTAATGAAATTGGTGCAAATTTTGTACTTGATAATTCTGTTTAGGGAAGAGGGAACGTTTTACACTAGAGGAAATTATCCAATACAAGCCTATTGTAAAACGTGAGCTATGTAGATTCAGAGCTACCCCTAATCTAAAATTCTTCGTTTAGGTCAGGCTGAATGCGGACATTATTCACAGTAAGTTTATAAATGTTTGATTCTTCCTTTATCGAGCAGGGACTATTTAGGTGTGGATCATGGAAAACTAATGGTTTTTGCAATAACCACTTCTTTCCCACCGATGTCAAACAACATTGGTGTGGAAAAGCTTGTGGGCTTTGTTGAAAATAGCTTGAATAACGATACTTGCTTTGATAAAGAGATCTTACTATTAAGTCACTTTGATAGTCTCTGTATACATGTGCACGAATGAATCAGCAGTCAGCTGAGGAAAGATCATGATCAAAAAAAAATCTACAACCCTGAAATACATTCTGCATGAAAAAAGCAGAAATACGTGGCTAAAAGTCTATGCTGTAAAGTCGTCTGTTAAAGGTTAAAATTACTTTGCGATTTACTTCATTTTAATCTTCAATCGAAACCGAGAAAAAAGAGAATCTCTTCGACCTTAATAAAATGAATTGCGTCTTGGAATTTCACCAGGAAAGAAAAAGATTCAGAAAGAATCTGTAAATCTATTGTAATCGCTGAGCAAAAAATATCATTTACGTATAAGAGCTGTAGAAATATGCAAGTACTTGTCTATACTTATAAAATAGAGTAAGTTTTAAGATTTTTTGAAATCGATTAGCCCTGTAAAAAAGCATAGGTGGCATGGCTTTATGGGCTCTCGACAATTTTTGTAAGCATCCCAAGGAATTTTTCGGAGTGCGGGGTTAACGCTGCGCACATTCCTTCTGGAAATTTTTCCCCTCCACCTCCCGTCCAAAAGGAAATTTGGATGCGCCACTGATATGTAATGGTAGTAAGCTTATTCTGCTACATCTTCTGCCAAGAGCCAGGCCACATAGGCAAATTTCTCGAGAATATCGCTCCAAAAAATGTGTCCTCAAAGTTTGCTGCTTACTTGCAAGATCCAATTTTTTCTAGAAGATCATCATGGGCCCATACCGCACAGGCACAAATTGAACGACGAAAACGTATAAGAATGATACGAGCGCAAAATCAGGATGACCACGCTATTCTTGCTCTAACAGCTTTTGTTGACCTGGTTATATTGGACATGTTGTTGGTTGTAGAAGTGCTATGATAAAAATGTTTGTGACTGTCCATGACTAGGGGATTTTTTCGAAACTGTTACGTGCTTTTTCTCTTCAAAAACTCAGGTCTGTAGCAATTCTTTTTCGCTATCACAGATTGAGTAGGGTAGCTTTGGATAGTAAAAATATTCTTACAATGCTTTTGCCTTGTCCAGAAAGAATTTGATATAAAAAAGTCACAAACGTTTATATAACGCATAGATTAAGTAATTCAAATAGATTTTGACTGGAAGAGGTCATATCAGGGCAATCACATAAAATCTTTTTTTGTGAAAAAATGTAAATAACGATCTATTCTCTAAAAAGTCAGCTAGGGAATTTCCTTGACTTCTCAGTAGTGGTTTCCCTTGGTTCTTTGGAAGTTGCTACTAGCGTGATTCAGTTTACACTCTCTAAAATGCTTCTATATAGGTGTCTTCAATTCCCGCCGTATATTCCCGTTCTTGATCAGTTTTCTGTTGGCGCAGATCTCTTAAAATCCTTTGTATAATTGAAAAGCTAAATTTTTATTCTATGGGCTACATAGAATCTGAAGAGTTGAAAAGCTAAAACAACGATGCCAAAAGATGTAGCTTCGCAATGCTAATCGCCAGCGCTTATCATCTCCAAGCCGAACCAAAGTGACAATGCGGGAGTCGCCACCATCAGTGATCGTTATCGGCTTTGCAAACAAAACTCATTGTATCGAAAACAATAAACAAAGCCTTTGGCAATGCTTAGTGCTATGTTTGTTTAGTCGTTTCAATCTTTTCAACACACAAGAATTGTTTCGTCACCTATAAAACAGAGAGATTAATGGAGGAACAGCAGTCTGGGTGTTAATCTGGCTTCTTTTACCCTTTTGAATATGCTAAAATGTTTGATAATCTGTATGCTTGCACTTCTTGGATGTACACAAGCAGGTGAGTAGATTTTTTTGATTGATTAATTACTTTCTAGATGCAAATTTTAGCACAAAGACGTAATAGCAACGTTAATGAGAAGATTATCGGAGCTAAAAACATAGTTAAGCGTAAGTATTCTATGAGTTCTCTGAAATTTTCATAGTTTTCATAATAGTGCCCCTTGCTACCTTATACCTCCATTAGAACAGAATGCTATTATAGCATTTTTTTTCAGGTCAAGTAGAGATCGCCTGTGGGAAGAACGAACAGTGAGTTTAATTATTTTTGAGAGTACCACATTTATCAACTTATCATTTAGCTGTGCAACATGGCAAAAGAAAGGCTTCTGCGAAAACACTTTCTATTCACTCGAGTTCAGAAAAAAATGGTGTGGAGTTCCATGCGGACTATGCGAAAGTGATGAAAATGATATTTAAGAAACCTTCAATCCATTTTAGTGGAAAGAATGTTCATTTATGTAATTACGTATTATGTCCAATGGCAATTTGGATCGAATGAAAAATCTGAGTAACGTAGAAGATTATAACAAGAAGGTATCATATTTATTTTTGATGTATTATAGTTATACTTGTCAAGTGATAAAACTTTCCTTATGACTTCTTCGCAGATGTCACAAATTTGGGTATTCCTAAGACTCACATGAATAAAATTTCAGAAGGTTTTTTTCCTACAGCTCTCTCGAACTTGCCAAAATGCCCCAGCGTTTTCATAGGTGACGGATCACTCATCCGAACTCATGGGTACCAGCTCGACTCTAACAAGGCGCTGGCACGGTGCTGGACCGCTGCTGGCATCATGCCGACACATACTCAAGTCTGAACACTGTCTAGTATGGCAGCTCAAGCAAACCATCTCTCGATGTTTGAGCTAATTTTCTAAAAAAACTAATTGAATCAAAAGCCAAAATTCCTTGGACTTCTTTTCTGGCAAACAAGGTAATCTCGACAATTTCACTGAAATACAATAACATTTGCGGCTTATCCTTGTAGTAGCAATTCGAAGGGCTTTATATACAACTTAAAGGCAGTGTCCGGGCAAAAACTCGATTCTGAGATTTGTGCTTACCTGGGCCTATTCGCTACGCTAAATCCGAAAATGCACATTGAAGAGTGCGAAAATGGCGAAAAACGGTTCTAGCACAAGAGGGATGAGCAGGTGGGCGGGGTCCTCCCCACTGCGCATTGACGTTCCCGGCTACCGAAGCGACCTTCTCGCTTCCGGTTTCAAGTCAATCATTCGCACTTGACCGGTAGCGATGTTAGGACGGCTAGCGGAATCGAGAAAATCGCTCCGGGAGCTGGGAGCGTGAAATCGCACTGGGGAAAGCCGCGCCCACCTGCTGATTTCCCTTTTGTGTCAGAGCCCTTTTTCGCCGTTTTCGCGCTTTCTAATGTGGATTTTCGGAGTCAGCATGGGAAATAGGCCCGTATAAGCACAAAATCTCAAAATCGAGTTTTTCCCCGGACACTGCCTTTAAGAGCTGAGTTATACAATGGTCCTTTTTGAGCGATATTTGCATCGCTTCAATACTGTAGGATTACGGGAGAAACTTCAAGAGGATTTCAAGCCATCGAGGGCCCTGACCCGCCCGCCTTAGGCCCTGGGCAGAGCTCATGCGATTTCGTCGCGTCGCGCCCTATCATTTTGGACTAGTGTTCCACGCCACGCTGTTTAGTGTGTTGGTCCCGACGCGTTTGTGATGGCTGCGCGGCGCGACGGATCGCGCCACACCTTTCGGCGTTCATAGCTCGCCCGCGATATCGTCGCGATTTTGCCGAATCGGCGCGATGTCGCGTCGCTCGTTTGCGGCGAGCAACGGGGCGACCATCGCGAGGATCCTGGACTGCATTTTCGATGTTATCGTTGAAGTTGTTGTTTTTTCTTCGGATTATGAGTGTTTTTGCGTGAAATGTTGCAAATGCCAATTTATGCCTATCCCTGCATTGTTTGGTGAAGGCAGTTAGTCCTCATTTTGCATTTTTTCATGTCTTTCATCTACATTTTCCTCATCTCATATATCCTAGGCTGCCAAAATGATCCGTTACAAGCCTACCCTGTTCGATTGCGCATCGAATACCAAAAGAATGTGCCCACAGTCTACGTTGACGATGGTATGGAGCAAACTCCGAGATATGAACTTTGCATGAGGTAATAACAGTAAATTCGTCTATCATGTGCAGCACATGGGGACGTTTCTAGAGCTGAGAACATCGTTTTGCCGCGTAACGGTTCTTTCGGAATGTCAGCAACCACTGGGCCTTGCTGGTACTTCTTCCCTATTCGTAATTGATGCTTGCCAACAGTCATTTGATTATGAGCCATTTTTTCCACAAACACGATGTCGTTGATTTCTCCTTTTATTGTTGACCATTTTGATGCATAATGTTGTGATAGTTATCAAGTCGGATCAGAGGTGCGATAGTCGGAGCCGATTCTCCGCCTACCTTCACTTTTGAGCTGGTGCAGGGTAACCACCTTCACTTTTGGGTTTTGATTTTTTTGCTGAAACTGAAGAAAAAGGAAACTAAGCAAAACGAACGCAAAAGAAAGTATTGAGAGCATATTCTATGAGGTTATTTTTATGAGGTCGCCGTCGCCTACTGCGAGCACCTGGAGGCCATCACCGGCATGGACGCATCTACGCCTCAGCACTTTCTACGATAGAGTAAAGCTTCATGATGACTTCGGACAACTAAAGAGCTCTAACTCAACGGTCCTCTTTAGGGCCAGTAACTGTGACACAACGGCCCTCTTTAGGGCCACAAATACGATGAGTACAACTGCATAAATATTTTAATAAACGTTTTAATGAAATAGTGTATTTGTGAGTGATACTAAGCTAGACTTTATGTGTTTTATTAAGTACATATTGTTCTGACGTACTGCGAAGAAAGTAGGTCGATCCAGGCAGTAATCGCCGAGAGCCAGAATTCCGAATGATAAAGTAATAAAAAATCATGCGATGATTCCATTGTTATAAATCTGCTGGTTGAAAATGTCATCAATTGCGACTTCATGGGTTTTGAAGGAGAAGTGTTGTTCTACCAGACAGTGAAAGAATCAGTTTGATTTGAGGAGTGGCCGCTGAGAACGAGGATTTTGAAATGAAATGGAAAATCACACGATTTTAGGTTGCTTAAAGGCAGCGTCCAGGCAATGGACCTATGGGGATTTTACATGGAAAGTACTTTTGGGGCCCTAACTAAGCCACTGCCGGCAGCTCAGCCTTAACGCCTGAGATATTCCCCTCAAAACTGGACCCCGCGACCGTGTTTCGCATGGATTCATGGCGCAAAGCGTGGATCCTGGCGCGAAACTACCATGGATCCATGCGAATACGTTCGCGGGGGCCAGTTTCGAGGGGAATATCTCAGCCATTAGAGCACTATAGTAAAATGATGTGCACTTCATAATGCTCAGCTACACGTTGAGAGTAGACCGGTTCATTGATCTAACGACAGAAGGCAGTATAGGAACATAAACAATATTAATCTACTGGATCCTGATAGGTTGCAGAGTTGACGCTGATGACGGGGCAAACAGCAGCCCAGGGATATCACTGGAGAGGCGCCGCCGGTCGGTTACCGGACGTTGGAGTTTCTCCTCGCACCCTGCGCGTATCGGCCACGCCCTAAAAAGCATGACTCAGTACCGAACTCAATAGGGGTGCTTGTGCTCACACTATCTGAGCTGCCGCTTGGGCAGTGCCTTAGTTAGGGCCCCAAAAGTACTTTCCACGTAAAAGCCCCATAGGTCCAGATCTGCCTGGACGCCCTTTAATGACAGCTGACATTTAAACTCTTGTAAATCCGGACTTTGAAGGTGTGCGATGTAGCGACTTTGTAGATTTTATAGAGTGAGGTTTGCCTTATCAGAATATGTCTCAGCTGTACCGATACATTGAAACAACGCCGAGATCCAGGTTCTTAAAAAAGCAGGTAAAAAACTGTTTTTTAGCTCATAACTTCACCAGAAATGCATGAATCATGTTGCGACTTCGTAGGTTAGATTCTCCTCTTCAAGAGCTTTCAAATGATATATGATATGTGGGGGATTCACGCATCCCACGGTATATGCCCGGGGCGGAGTACTTCTCTTCACTAATTCTCCACTGGCGGCCTCCAGCCAATACATTGAAATGGGCGGGGTGGAGATTTAGTGAAGAGAAGTACTCCACCCCGGGTTAGAGTCGCAAGAAACATTGAATCTTCCATATATTATATATCATCTGAAAGCTCATGAAGAGGAGAATCTAACTTATGAAGTCGCAACATGATTCATGCAGTTCTGGTGAAGTTATGAGCTGAAAAACGGTTTTTTACCTGCTTTTTTAAGAACCTGGATCTCGGCGTTGTTTCAATGGATCGGTACAGCTAAGACATTTTGATAGGGCAAACCTCACTCTACAAAGCATATGAAGTCGCAACATCACACACCTTCAAAGTCAGGATTTACAAGAGTTTAAATGTCAGCTGTCATTAAGCAAGCTAAAATCGCCTTTTCATTTCATTTCAAAATTCTCGTTCTCGGCGGCCACTCCTCAAATCAAACTGATTCTTTCACTATCTGGTAGAACAACACTTATCCTTCAAAACCTATGAAGTCGCAATTGCTGACATTTTCAACCAGCAGATTTATAACAATGGAATCATCACATGATTTTTCATTACTTTATCATTCGGAATTCTGGCTCTCGGCGATCACTGCCTGGATCGACCTACTTTCTTCGCAGTACGGCAGAACAATATGTACTTAATAAAACACATAAAGTCTAGCTTAGTATCACTCACAATTACACTATTTCAATAAAACGTTTATTAAAATATTTATGCAGTTGTACTCATCGTATTTGTGGCCCTAAAGAAGGCCGTTGTGTCACAGTTACTGGCCCTAAAGAGGACCGTTGAGTTAGAGCTCTTTAGTTGTCCGAAGTCATCATGAAGCTTTACTCTATCGTAGAAAGTGCTGAGGCGTAGATGCGTCCATGCCGGTGATGGCCTCCAGGTGCTCGCAGTAGGCGACGGCGACCTCATAAAAATAAACTCCATAGAATATGCTCTCAATACTTTTTTTTGCGTTCGTTTTGCTTAATTTCCTTTCAGTTTCAGCAAAAAAACCAATACCCAAAAGTCCGAAAAAAAAAACCCAAAACAACCCAAAAAACCCAAACCCAAAGTCCGTCCTGTGCTCTTCCCCCCTCTCTACCCTCCCCCCCCCCGGTCAACGTTTTTGAGAGGTGAGTATCCGGCACTACCACCTTCACTTTTGCTGGCCAGTGGTAGCTGGAACCTTCACTTTTGGGGGGCCCGGCTCCGCTTTCGCACCTCTGAGTCGGATTCTAATGTGATAAACTTTCAAACTTTCTTCATCTGCTGCTACAGCTTTTTTGAATGACAGTGATGTAGTAAAGTCAACG